GTATGCAGTCTTGACCAGATGAGTTCTTAGCTTTGTTTAAAGAGAGGTAAGTTATCTGTATTACGAATATCAGGAGGGAGTGGTTCCAGAGTTTGGGAGCAGAGCTGGAGACAGCTCTCCCTATTGTGATGAGGGAGGCAAGAGGCTTAATAAGGTGGGTAGCATCTATGAACGAGATCTAAGTCCAGGCAAGATTATGGTCGGATGACCTTGAACGTGAACAGCAGGATTTTGTACTGAACTTTTTGTACTGAAGTTGACAGGGAGCCAGTGGAGCCCCTCTAAGTCTAAGGTGATGTGACGAAATGAGGGGCTTTGGTAATTTAACAAGCTTCTAATTTCTGAACTAACTGAAACTCATGGGGGGAATTTCTAGCGAGGAGTAAAAAGTTGCAGTAATGAATGCAGATGGTGACAAGGCTACGGATAAGAACAGAACCAAAGGGCGGGGAAAGAGAGGAATGAAGACGAAGAATGTTTCGTAGATAAAAATATGCATATCAGGTAATGTGACTGATGTGGTACTATCAAAGATGACCCCCAAGCCAGAGTTAAATTTGACTTAACATCTTTGGAGAATCTGAAAATGTACAGACGTCTCCTTTCCAACCCGATGAGATTTGAAATGTTCTACAATGAAGAATGGGCAACATGGCATAAAGTAAGATGTGCTATTAGAAGCCATTGAAAGGAAGCACATCTCTTTACATTTCAGCTTCACAGGAGCCGGCCATTTCTCTTAGTATATACATATATATGTATTAGGGATGCACAATATAATCGGTCCCCTATCGGTATCGGCCTTAAAATTGAATATCGGACATCGGCCACCCCACCGATATTTAACCCGATATTTGATCAGCTTCTGAGTTTCTAAAGTCTAAAAAAAAAAAAAAATATTACTTCTTCTTCTTCCTCAAAAACTTCTTTTTTACAGACTTAAAAACTTCTAAAGACGAAGGAAAAAAATATTGATACATTAAAATATCACAATATCTTCATATGCTGATATATTGGCATTTAAAAACACCATATCAATCTCTTTTACTAATGAAATATTGCTATATGTCATCGTTATGCTACGAAATCCCCCGAAAATTCATGAAATTTTGCCATATTTTTATATGTTGATATATTGACGCGGTATCGATCTATTTTACTAACAAAATCTCACAAGAATTTGCAAAATGTCACAAGAGTTTGTAACAGAACGATGAAATTTCACGAGATTTTGAAAGTAAAATAGATAGATACGGCGTTTTTAAAAATAGATTTGATATCAGCATATGAAAATATATTTGAGTATATTATTTTTCAAAGTGTCAGAAATGGATAACAAAACTGCTATTTTCAATACCTACTTATTTTTGTCCAGCTTTAACATCGGTATCGGTTATCGGCTACATGAGTTTTAAAATTTCGGCATATCGGATATCGGCCAAAATCCCAATATCGTGCATCCCTAATATATATATATATATATATATATATATATATATATATATATATATATATATGTATATTCATATATATATATATATATTCATATATATATATATATATATATATATATATATATATATATATATATATATATATATATATATTCACACACACGCTCCCAATCAGTAGAAATATTATACAGCAAGGGAATAATTTCCCCTGTTATGTTGATGATACTCAGCTATATCTGTCTATAAATCCAGATGAAACTAATTCATTACATACAGTAGTTTACAGGCATTTCTTGAAGACATAAAAGCCTGGATGACTCCTAACTTTCTGCTTCTGAATGCTGACAAAACCAGAGCCTGAAAAATAAGTTGATTAATCAGTCACTTCAACTGGATGGGATTAAATTCATCTCAGATTAAAGTAAAAAATCTTGGTGTTACTTTTTATCAGGACCTGTCATTTAAATCCCATATCAAAGAGGTTCCTTTACTTAATCTGAATAACATTTCAAAAATTACAAATATCCTTTCCAGGGGTGATGCTGAGAAACAGGTCCCTGCATTTGTTACTTTAGTGCTGGACTATTGTAATGCTTTACTCACAGGAAGACTACAAACTCCTTAAAAGCCTTCAGCTGATCTAAAATGCTTCAGCCAGGGTTCTTATGAAATTTTAAAATTTGGCCTCGGCAGATGACAGTCTGGTTCTGCTGGAGATTTCTTCCTGTTAGGAGGGATTTTCCCTTTTAACATGCCTGTCGATGCAGGCATGCCTGGTATGAGGGATCACTTTGGTGTCCTTGAGTCGATGCAATCAGATGGTTTTCCTTACATAGACAACTTTAAACCAATCTGACTGGATAATCTGGTTGAATTGTCTCTGTTAAATACCTTGAAATGACATGTGTTGTCAATTGCTGCGATATAAATTGACTGAATTGATCATATCTCTCCTATATTGGCTTCCCTTCCTGTTAAATGCAGAATATAATTTAAAATCTCACTTCTCACATATAAAGCCTTAAATAGAACAGAACAGTAAATCTCTTTATTGTCCCACAGTGGGGGAATTGTGGTGTTACAGCAGCAGCAAAAGATTACAGCAAAAGTGGTCACACAAATGTGGACCTTAAAACTGTACAAAAATAACAGAATATGTGAAAGAGTTCAACAAATAAAACACTGTACAGTACAGTGTTTTTACAAATATAAATACTGTGCATCTGGAGAATATATAATCAATATTCAGCTGAATATGCCAAGCTGGCCAATGGCCAAGCTCCATCTGATATCAGTGATCTGATTGTTCCTTATCTAACATATGCTCTTGATCTGTTGGTTTACTAGTGGTTTCTAGAAGTTCCTCAAGGTAGAATGGCAGGGAAGTCTTTTAGTCTACCACTCTACCAGTTTTAGTCTGTAAGGCAGACACTCTGTCTACTTTAAAGGTTAGGCTTAAAACTTTCCTTTTTGATGAAGCCTATAGTTAGTGTTTCAGATTATCCCCTCCACTATGTTTTAACTGTTCTGCCTTGTTCTATTTCTATTCTCCAATGCTGTAGTTTTTGTTAGTTAAACCCTTAACAGTATTCTCTCTGGTTATTATCGTCATAGTAGCTTTTTTTCCCCCTTCAGTGTTTAATCCTGTTTCTCTCCTACGTATAGCTATGATCTCAGCTCTCACTGTGACCAACTGGATGTTCTATCTTTCATCCCTTTTGATATGCAAACCAACTCAGGGTTTGTCTGCTTAACCATTTCATTGTTAAACAGAGACAGCTCTGGAGCTAGTTAGTGTTACCTTTACTTACATAGAAAGTATTTATGGAAAGTATCTTTGTCTTATCAGCTTCTATGTTCCTTTTTCTTTGTCAGAACATCCTTGAACCCCAGTCTGCCTTGGCAGATTGCCGCTCATACTGAGCCTGGTTCTGTTCTGTTATTTATGGAATCCTTCATACATCTCTGAAGCAGATATATTTAAGAATGTCTACTTGCATCTGACAGTACCTTCAGATGCAGCAGTTTTTTTTTAAGTTTTTTTTTACCTTTATTTAACCAGGAAGTCCCATTGAGATTCAGAATCTCTTTTTCAAGAGAGACCTGGCCAAGGTAGCAGCCAAACCACAGGAAGTTCATACATATTACAGGAAGTTCATACAACCTGTACCTGTTTTCTGTACAACCGAGTGGTCATCGCTTCAAGTCTGCCTTTTAAACATGTGTCCTTGGGCAAGACACTTCTCCAGCATTGCTTACTGATGGAGGGTAAGAGGGGACAGTGGCGCCTGTCTACTGCAGCCCCGCTTTAGTCAGTGAGCTCCAGGAAGCTGGAAACAGAAAATAATTTATCTTAGAAACTTTGGCTACCTGGACATCTTTTTACTTCTATTCCTTACATTTTAATTATAGACTTGTTAGTTCTTTAATTTAAGCTAATTTTTTGGTATTTAAAAATAAAATCCATCAAAATAATTAGTTTTATTCAAATAATTCATTTATTTGTGGTTTACTGCATACCAAATTAAATAAGTTTTTCAAGATGATGCAAAGTTAAATTTGGCACTATTGCAATTAGTTATAAAACTAAGAAAATTAAGTATAAGGCAAGGCAAATTTATTTGTATAGCACAATTCAGTACAAAGACAATGCAAAGTGCTTTACATGATTAAAATACAGGAAGATAAAACAGAATCAAAGCAAGTAGGAAAAAATAAAAAACAAATAAAATAAAATAAACAAAAAAAAGAATATTAAAAACAGTTGGATTAAAGAAAACATGTTTTTGTTGAATTGTTTAACTAGAACAGTCGAAGGCAATCCTAAACAAATGTGTTTTTAGTCTTGATTTAAAGGAACTCAGGCTTTCCGCACTTTTACAGTTTTCTGGAAGTTTGTTCCAGATAAGTGGAGCATAGGAACTAAATGCTGCTTCTCCATGTTTAGTTCTGGTTCTAGGTATGCAGAGCAGGCTGGAGCCAGAAGACCTGAGTGGTCTGGAGGGTTGATACACTGATAGCAAGTCTGTGATGTATTTAGGTGCTAAGCCATATAAGCAAGTATAAGGAAGCTATCAAACAGAATTGTAGAAAAAAAATTCTCCTTTAATTTTAAAGCTGTGCTAGTAAGCACGCAGCCGTGAGATCGTGCCAACGGCAGTGTTCTGTGGCACGCATGGCAAATTGTAGTTGACAATAAAGAAATTGATGGATTGAGCATCTGTCCTTAACATTTCTTACTGCATTACTTTTAATTTTATACTTTAAGTAGTTTTAAAAATGGTGCTTTTACAATTTTACTGCAGTAAAAAGCTTAAATTGATGTCCTTATTACTACAAAAGTGTTTTTAAACAGTAGGATTTATACTTCTACTTCAGTAATACACATTTTAACCTTTTGATAAATATGGACAACTTTGAAGCCCATGAAAGGTGAAGAGGATATATCTGGATTCAACCAAGACTCAATGGGAATCCTGCAATGTGGCTAAATTTGAAAAAGCTCTGCAAAGGAAGCTGAAACAGACTTTATTAGCAGCACTAGAATATATATTATGATCTTTATTTAATCAATGCTTATTTATCAATGCTAAGTAAAAAACACCATTGGATCCAAATTTCTCAACACTGAGAGTAAAATATTCACAGCAAAGAGGGATAATTCTACTCTTTATAAAGTCCTTTCTATAGAGCTGTTGATACAAGCAGAGTTAGGAATTGAGATAAAAGGAAGGCCACATTTCTCCAAAGAGGGTCAGCAGCCAAAGCAGCCTTCAGAAAGTTAACTCTCCGGCTCATAGATCTTGATGAGGTGTTGCAGTTCTGTGGGGAATCCAGTGAGCGGACAGCAGCGGTTAGCCTTGACGTAAGCGTAAACGCAGCGATAACAGAAGACAAAGCCTGATGTCGACAGTACGGTGGAGTTGGTCCGCAGCTTTAGGCACAGGGGACAATTCTTCTTGTCGGCGGCTGCCTGCGTGTCGAGGCCCTGCAGATGGAGCGGGGGTGGAGGAGCTGGCAGGGAGGTAGCGGTTTTCACCGTGCTTTGGTTTTCTGAGGAATACCACCACTCCAGGAACTGTAGGAAGAAGACGCCCAGAGAGAGGGAGGTGGAGAGGGAGACGGCTGCACCCTGTGCGGCTTGGGACAGCAGCCACCATGTTCTCTGCACCAGCCTGCAAACATAGGAACATGTTTCTTGGTTTAGACTCAGATTTACACCTTAGTTCAGCCAAACTGTTGCATGCAGGATCATCTTTACTTAAACAGGGTTTATACAGGAATGAGTTGATGTTAATGAAATGAACAACAGGTGCCCTAGAGGGGCAACAACGAGACAAGCATCAAAACAAGAATGATTTTACAGGTGGAGGCCACTGACATTTTTCCCCTCCTAATTTTTTTTTTTCCCCAAATAAGATGTTAATTTTTTCAGCCACTTTTGTTGAAATTTTTGTTTTCCCATTCGCTAGCTTTTTCTCCGCCTCGAGCTTCTCTTCCGACATACAGCTTTACGATCAACCTGAAGCATTTCTGCGCAGACATGTGGAACCAGTTATATCTGATGTAATGTATCTGACAAAATTCTCATTAAAAATTTATTTTTTTTAAATAAAGCATTTTAAATGCCACGATAATCACATTTAATTAAATTTAATGCCAATTAAGGCCTTAAATTAAAAAATTATAGTTTAATGATTTTTAATGACCTATGGAAACCCTGTAAAACAAAGGAAGAGGAATGATAAAAGAAAACACTGAAATATTGTTTCTTCAGGTGAAAGAAGACATTATTAGATTTTTTTTAAATGTCCTATTAAATAAAATATAGCAGCTGTTTGTTTAGTGAATGTAACAACATTTTCCCTTTGAAACAGAGAAAGTGCTGCTGGCCCTTTCTAAACAGGGTCCCTTAACTTCCCCTTTTAAAATGTAAGACTTTAAAACTTACATTTCCAGATTATTACCTCTGCCAAGGAGGTTTTGTTTTGTTTTGTCCGTATGTCGGTCGGGGTACAGGATAACATGAAACATTATGAACGGATTTTAATAAAATTGTCACCAAAGGTGCACCTCAGTCCAAAGAACAAACCGTTAAATGTTGGTGATGATCTACATCATTTTCTAAAGGATTCTTTAACATTATTTGGCAGGACAAGCAGTTCCCCTCTGAACCAGAAGATGGCAGCAGTGACTATTGACAACTTCAGCATCTGACAGAATTTTTTAGAATAAAGACAAAAACACAGGAAAAGTGAGCCACGATTTGCTCAAAGTCAACATCTGCTCATCAAACAAGAAAGCAGAGTGAATGACGGTGAGAGCAGAACAAACACCAGAGGCTGCAGACACACACTGGGCCTTATTTAGAAACTTATGAAAAGATTTTAAGGGGATTTTTCCCAAAGATAGAAAGAAGATTCTAAGCTATGATTCATTAACGCTTGGTAATAATCTAGATTATAGGAGTTTTACCTTTAGGTGTAAATCACAATAAAATTGTGATTTACAAAATTGGCTGCTTGGCGGAAGTCTGCTTTTCTAGTTTTAAAGCATTTTTAGCTAAATTTACCTATTACGTTTTTTTTGTTTTTGTTTTACAGATACTTCACAAAGATCAGGTTTTAATCTAAAGTCTGCAAAAACACTGACTTCAGAGTCAGAAGGATACATGAATCTATGAAAGAAACAAACAGATGAAGGAGATAATGAATGAAAGCAGAGAAAAATGGACAGATTATTTAACAAATGGCGACGTTAGCAGATGGACAGATGAACAAAGATAAATGGTTTGAAAGATGAATGGATTCATAGTTTCTCAAGTTGGAATCCTTTTTTAGGAATCAATGACTAATAAAAATCGGTATTCTAATTAGGCCTGGGCGATAAACCGGATTGCTTTTCCCATGTCGGTGAATGAAATAAACGTGATTTTGCTGTTTTTCCTGTGTGCGATGTTGGGTGGTTCCTTCCCCTTTAAGACACTGCAGCATGTGGGGAGTCACATGACTCCACCGATCCAGTCGGAACACACAAAGAGAATGGTGGATGAGCCCATTGAAGCGTTAACAGGGCTGTAAACGAAATTACATTAGTTAATCCTGTGAAGCTGAGTGATAGCAGAGATTAAGCTGAGCATGCAGAGAAAAAGTTGAAAGCGGTTTGTCGGAGTTAAATGGGCAGCAGATCGGATTTGAGGTTGTACGAGTTTAAACGATGCACATTTTTCTCACTGCACACTCAGTTCAGAGGCACACAAATTACACCATAGATGATGAGCAAAGGGACACGAAATGCAAAGTTTTTCTGAAAACTGTCTTGGAATACCCAAAGTAACACATCCAACCTCCCCGTGCAGCAAAGCCACACTGTGGAGTTCAAAGATATGCAAAAGGCTACATTACCTTTGCACAAAACTGTTTACAAGAGAGGAAACATTTTTCTCCTATTCAATGAGATGTTGTTTAAAGTTTAAACCTGAATGGGCTCAAGACTTTAATATTTAAATAAAACTAATATGTAATGTGATTTATTGAATAAGTAAATTATTAATAAATCAGTTGCATTTCTTGCACATGCTTTTATTTGTCATACAGGAGCCGGAGCATTTATCGTGCATATATACATCTTTACCCTCGCATAAAGGTCAAACTGCCCAAATTATTGTGATTTAGATTTGAGATCATATTTCCCTGCCCCAATTCTAAATTGTTGAATATCGTTTGTTTTGTTAAAACTACTAAAAACTTTCTCTGCTGCACCCATGTCTTCTTTCTTATTTTGGGTATTTGCCATTAAGCCCAGAAATCTTTCCCTTCACTCCTGCCTTCAACGTTTGCTCTCTGTCTGCTGGTGGTGCAGAAGTGCATCATCTCAGCTGTAAATACTGATTCTGAAGGGCACGCTGCATATTTTCATGGAGCTTTTCTCATGTAATGCCATATTAGGAGCCTTCATGCACAATAGAATTCAGTGTATCAGTCTAATTGGGACAGAACCACTTGGAGAGGAAACCAATATAACATTTATCAGAAAAACCAGCTTAGCATCCCACTACGTGTGTCCTTAAGATCACGAACCTCCCATCTGCTGGCTTCGCAGGGCTGGATTTGTGCTCCATATCTATGAGGTCCTGACCACTGAGTCTTGCCAATCTGACGTTGGCCAACCACAGCAGGGGACTGTGCGTCCTGCTGACTCCAAAAACAAAAAGCAGATGCTGGCAGAAGACCCAGGCCTGGTAGGCCGAGCTGATATATGGGTATGCTGCCACTGCTGCTCGGTACAATCTCAGCTTCCAGGTCTGTGCCAGCCTGATAGAGAAGTCTTCCTCCTCCCTCTGCTGAGCCAGCATGGCCTCAAGCCTGGCCCGCAGGTACGGCAGCAGGCACAGGAGCAGCAGGGACCTGCAGCTCAAACTCCTGCCAAGGCCCAGGCGTGCGGGGAGGCTCCGTCGTGCTGGGACTCTCTTCAGTCCATAGAAGTTCTCAGAGAAGGAGGCGCTGCAGTGGGACAGGAAGTGGTTCTGCAGGAGGACATCCAGCAGCAGGTAAAGCTCGTCAAAGCATCTCCACAGGAAACCGAAGCGTGAAGGGTTGGATTCAGCCAGAACCTAGGACGGTGAGAGCAGAGGGATAATATTATAAAGCCCTGCTGACAACCAGATTGGACGGGTTCCAGTTTAGCCTAACCATGATGGCGTGTCTCAGTGCAGGTCTGACTGCTTCCATCAGAGAGTCCTGGGCTAGAACTTCAAAGATGGATGGCAGTTCATTAACAGCCGCTGAGGTCAGATGGGCTCCGGCCTCCGCCATGACTGCTACTGCAAAAAAAAAAAAACAATACATAAAAACAACTTTGCAACAAATCAGCTGTTTTTTGGGGTTTTTTTTGCAGCGGCAACAAACAAGACAGAAGAACAACAACAGGCATTTACATGTGGCCTTGGAACCGTCATAGAGAAGACAGAGGGCAGGTGTTCTGAACTAATTAACTATCTCATGTTGTCAAAGAGGAATTCTGCCATTTTTTAAGTCATTGTGTTTGGGTCATTGTAGACATTTGTTCCCCTAAGGACGTTTATAACCCCGGAGCTCATGATCCATTCTGCTGTAGACTTTTTGTTTTTTCTCAGGATCACAGGCCAATCACAGGGGTGTTGATTGATCACCCAATCAACGCCCCTCATTTGACTTCAGTTCCATGTGCACAGATCAGACATCTTTATGGTTTAAGATGGGATTTTGGTCATGGTAAATAAAAAGTACATGATGAAGGTAACTGTATGTGGTTACATTTTAAAGTTGGTTTCATTAGTTTTTTAGCTAATGCCTTTCATATCTAAGTAAAATTGTAACTGTGGGATAGCCTTCACTGAATCAAAAATCAGACTGAATCATGAATCGAATCGATTTGGTGAATCTGAATCGATACCCAGCTCTACTGGATAGTTTACTGACAGACAGAAACTTTTTTTTTAACTCAAATTTTAGCATATTTACTGTTCTAAGAGGGTTGCAAAAGGCATGGTTTAGTCTCTATTTTCCACCTAATGATTAATTGATTACTAATCTAGGTGAAGAATATTTCAGTCATAGATCAATCACTATTATGATATCAGCCCTAGTTACCTAGTTAGGTATGAAACCAGAGTGAGTTACTGGTGTATAAAGATGAAAAACTACAAAGTTTTTTTTATAAATTAATGTGACATCCTGCTGCTCTGTCATTTGTTGTTTTAAGTCTTTTACAATTTGGTTTTTTATTAGACTTAAAGCTGTTTGTGTGTATTTACAATTACAGCTGAGCTATGACACTGCATGTGCACAGGGGGTAAACAAGGAAGTAGCATACCGTGGCTAAGCCAGTTAGCACTTCCAAGCATAGAGTGGAAACTAGATGAGATCCAGCGTGAAGAAAAAGAAAAATATTTGGTACCAAGAGGGATACGACTCAAATAGTGCTTAGAATGCAGAATTTATGTCTCTGAAGCTAAAGCTGCCAAAATTTTAAGATATGGCTAAATTGACAATGTTTAATGATCTCAATGCTGGCTCTACAGTCCAAATGATTTTAGAAATTGGTTGATTCTTACCTTAATGCTGCGGTAGATTGGCTAGAACAAAGAGTTTCTGTAGATCTGTTTATCACAGGATATGTTCTGTTATGCCAGAGACAAATTTGCACAATAGGCATATTTTTTGTCAAACTAAACAAGAAGACATATTTGTAAAAAAAAATAAAAAAAATATTGAGTCTATTTCTCAGGATGAAAGAAGCATAAGGAAATAACAGCAATGCAGATCAATGACATAGCAGCAAATGCATTTTATAAAAACAAACTAACAAACGTCACTCTTCTTAATAAACTCTACAATATCAGTCCTCATGGTGTAAGCTTACTGCTGAAAGCCTGAATTGAGCAAGTATATGATTGTTCTATTTAATTCAACCCAATATCTGATCAATTCAAACTCGGTCCAGCACAGTAACAAAAATACAAATAATAATAATAAAAAAAGCAGATTTCTTCAGGAGTTAAAGGGAAATAATAACAAACACAAATTCACTACATGTTAACGACTGTCCTTGGTTGGTGACTCCTTATAGGACTTTGAACCCGGTTTGAAAAAGAAACAGTTAGTGATATATTTAGGTTTTCAGAATTATTCAAAATAAGTTGCTGTGAGATTAAATTGTGTGTATAATAAATACCACATTGATCTTATGAAATTCTGCTAAATTTAACTCACCTTCCTGTAGTTGTTGTTTGCAGCAAAGCGGCGTCGATTTCTACGCGTCTTAGTCACAAGAAGATTTAAGAACATGGTGAAGTGCACCAGGAATAACACACCAGGATAAGAGCATCGCGGCGGCGCTTTCTTGTCCAGCGGTCAGCAGCCAGAATCAGCTCCGACAGAACCGAGGAATACCCACTTCGTCTGGCAGCGACACCCTTTCTTCTTCTTCTCACGGAGTTTATGGGCTGTTAGCAAAAACGTTAACGAGCACATTACTGCCACCAACCGGTATAGAGTGTGAATAATCGTTTAAGCTTCTTCTTCTTTGTTAGATTGGCGGATTGCAAACAGTTTGGCTCTGTTCGAAAACCTGGGCTGCATCCTCCAAGGACGCGGTCTACCTAGACTGGATCCTTCGAAGTCCTTGAAAATAAGGAGACCGGAAGAGTTTTGGCTGTGAATTCGAACAGGTCTACATTTCGGAGGGTTTTACCGCCGTATGCTCTGTTGCTTAGCAACCGTGAAAGTTGACACACAAAGCAGGAAAATAATGAAAAGCGAAGTTTTCAAAATTGTTTATTTATTTATTTTTTATAATAAAGTTAACAAAGACTACACTCACAAGAATCCAGAGTGGAATAAAGATTCCAACAGCAGGAACAAATAAAAGCAAATATAATGATAGAAACCTCAGTCAAGTTAAATAACATGCTGCTGTCATTTTGCACATCTCTGATGTTGCTGCTATTTTCAAATATCCATTACTGTAAAAATGTCCATAGCTACATATTGGTTATTTATTCTTCAGTTATATACTGTTAAAACACTTTACAGAATTGTATTGTTTATATTTTAACTCTCCCCTATGATGTTATGCTTATACATTTTTCTAAGGTTCACATTTGTGTGACCATTTTAATAATCTTTCTGTTGCTGTAAATTTGCCCATTGTGAGTCAATAAAGGGACTTTCTATTCTATAAAAGGGGTAGAAATACACTATATTGCCAAAAGTATTTGCTCACCCATCCAAATTATTGGAATCAGGTGTTCCAATCACTTCCATGGCCACAGGTGTATAAATTCAAGCACCTAGGCATGCAGACTGTTTTTACAAACATTTGTGAAAGAATGGGTCGCTCTCAGGAGCTCAGTGAATTCCAGCGTGGAACTGTGATAGGATGCCACCTGTGCAACAAATCCAGTCGTGAAATTTCCTCGCTCCTAAATATTCCACAGTCAACTGTCAGCTGTATTATAAGAAAATGGAAGTGTTTGGGAACGACAGCAACTCAGCCACGAAGTGGTAGGCCACGTAAACTGACGGAGCGGGGTCAGCGGATGCTGACGCGCATAGTGCGAAGAGGTCGCCAACTTTCTGCAGAGTCAATCACTACAGACCTCCAAACTTCATGTGGCCTTCAGATTAGCTCAAGAACAGTGCGCAGAGAGCTTCATGGAATGGGTTTCCATGGTCGAGCAGCTGCATCCAAGCCACACATCACCAAGTGCAATGCAAAGCGTCGGATGCGGTGGTGTAAAGCACGCCGCCACTGGACTCTAGAGCAGTGGAGACGCGTTCTCTGGAGTGACGAATCGCGCTTCTCCATCTGGCAATCTGATGGACGGGTCTGGGTTTGGCGGTTGCCAGGAGAACGGTACTTGTCTGACTGCATTGTGCCAAGTGTAAAGTTTGGTGGAGGGGGGATTATGGTGTGGGGTTGTTTTTCAGGAGCTGGGCTTGGCCCCTTAGTTCCAGTGAAAGGAACTCTGAATGCTTCAGCATACCAAGACATTTTGGACAATTCCATGCTCCCAACTTTGTGGGAACAGTTTGGAGCTGGCCCCTTCCTCTTCCAACATGACTGTGCACCAGTGCACAAAGCAAGGTCCATAAAGACATGGATGACAGAGTCTGGTGTGGATGAACTTGACTGGCCTGCACAGAGTCCTGACCTCAACCCGATAGAACACCTTTGGGATGAATTAGAGCGGAGACTGAGAGCCAGGCCTTCTCGTCCAACATCAGTGTGCGACCTCACAAATGCGCTTCTGGAAGAATGGTCAAAAATTCCCATAAACACACTCCTAAACCTTGTGGACAGCCTTCCCAGAAGAGTTGAAGCTGTTCTAGCTGCAAAGGGTGGACCGACGTCATATTGAACCCTATGGATTAGGAACGGGATGTCACTTAAGCTCATATGTGAGTCAAGGCAGGTGAGCAAATACTTTTGGCAATATAGTGTATATAAGTAAATCTAAACAATGTATGTATAAAAAATATATCTGCAAAATCTCTAATATTCAACAACAAAAAATACTTAGTTAACCATACTAACAAAACAGCAATAAAAAAATAAAATATCAGATTTATAGTCCCCACACTGCCGATCTATTAGAATCTGTTTTTAAATTACAGCCAAACCCATTTACACAGTAACAGATAAAAACCTTTAGATAAATCAAACATTACCGCCACATATCTGACTCAAAAACCATTAAAACAACTATTTTCATTCATTTCAGACGGAACTATTAACAGACTTGTATTATATTTAAACTGAACTTCCAATTTTCACTACTGTTCGGCGCCAACTGACCTTTCCTCTGATCACGGAGCAGCCGGCTTGCTTGGTCTCGCAATGAATCCTGGGTAAACCAGGGATACCGAGTATACATCAACCAGACCTCGGAGCCGCGATATGACGTAATCGTCCTTCGAATCTCACCATCCAAGGACGCGTCCCAGGATTTCGAACCGAGCAATCATTTAAGCTTCTTCTTCTTTGTTAGATTGGCGGATTGCAAACAGCTTATAGGTGCATACCGCCACATACTTTACATGAGTGTGTAGCTCTATAGTGCCACCTACTATATTCTATTTTTTATTGTGTTTTATAAAAATAAAAACAATGCTTTATTAATAACCAAATGTTCCTCCTTATCTCCATCTGTCCCTAAAATTCCTGTAATACTCCATTCTCTCGCTTTTTCCATAATTACTTTCCTCATCCTCTCTCTTTCAGTTGCATATTTAATTCAATCCATCAAAAGATGATCCACATTTCCTTTTCTTTCACAACCCTCACATAAGTCATTATTTCTCTTCCCTAGTATAAACAAAAACTCATTCAAGTAGGTAAGTCCAGTTCTGGTATAAATGATCTCTTCCCTTCTGCTTCTTTCTCCATAATTTTTAACAATTACAGATTTTTTAACTCTATATAATCTTCCTTTCTCATCTTCACCCCATATTATTTGCCATAATTCTGTTTCTCTATTCTTAATTATTGCTTTACCTTCCCCTTTCCCAAATGCAATCTGATCTATAGTCTGCGTTCCCAAAGCCTTTTTAGCTATCTTGTCTGCTATTTCATTTCCTCTCATCCCTTCGTGTGCTGGAACCCAACAGAACTGAACATCTGTTCCATACCTAAATAACCTAAACAAACTCTGATTAATTTCTATTACAAGGTCTTTCCTATTATTTCCTCCTGAATGAATGCTTTCTATTGCAACTCTGGAATCTATGCAAATCACCACCCTGTCCAGTTTGACCTCCTTCACCCACTGTAAACTAAAAATAATTGCTACCATTTCTGCTGTGTATATAGATGAAAGTTCTGTTAATCTTTTACATATACATATATTAAAATCTGGAATGAACATCCCTATTCCCACATTTCCCTTAGAATAGTTTGAACCATTTGTGTACATTTTTAAATAACTAAAATTCAATTGTCTAACATATAAGCTAGTTTTAACCTCAACTTTATTAGGTTTCCATTCTCTTCTCATTTAATGTATTTTAAAGTTGTTGTTCCATATGCCATGATCATAGCTTTTGGACATTGGGAACCAGTGTCCATATTTCATTTTGACATGATGAACAGCTGCAGGACCTCTGCAGACCCCCCCCCCCCCCCCAAAAAAAGCTAAATCAAACATTGTTTGGCCAAATAATGTTTTATTCACCTACTGGATTTGCATTGTGAATTGGTTTGAAAACATTCCTATTTCTATTTTCCGCAGGACCTGACATAATTCTTCCACTTATCCTGCGTTGGGTCACGGGGATAGCAGCTTCAATAGGGAGGCCCAGACTTCCCTCCCCAGCCACTTGGGCCAGCTCCTCCTGGGGAATCCCAAGGCAATCCCAGGCCAGCCGAGAAACATAATCCCTCCAGCGTGTCCTGGGTCTCACCTGGGCCTCCTCCCAGTGGGATGTGCCTAGAACGCCTCACCAGGGAGACGTCCAGGAGGAATCCTAATCAGATGCCCGAGCCACCTCAACTGGCTCCTCTCGATGCAGAGGAGCAGCAGGCCTACTCTGAGTCCTCCCCCAATGACTGAGCTCCTCATCCTATCTATATAAGGGAGAGTCTGGACACACTTTGGAGAAAACTCATTTCATATCCGGGATCTTGTTCTTTCGGTCATGACCCAAAGCTCATGACCATAGATTAGGATAGGTACATAGATCGACCGGTAAATCGAGAGTTTTGCTTTTCGGCTCAGCTCTCTCTTCATCACAACAGACCGGTACAGTGCAAGCTTGAGAGCAGACACCTCACCAATCCGCCTATCAATCTCCCGTTCCATCTTCCCCTCATTCGTGAACCATACCCCAAGATACTTAAACTCCTCCACTAGCAGCAGTCATTCCTCCCCAATCCGGAGAAGGCACTCTGCACTTATCCTTATCCTGGTCACTTCACACTCAGCTGCAAACCGCTCCAGTGAGAGCTGTAGATCACGCCCTGATGAAGCCAATAGAACCACATCATCTGTGAATAACACAGATGCAATCCTAAGGACACCAAAACAGATCCCCTCAACACCTTGGTTGCGCCTAGAAATTCTGTCCATAAAAGTTATGAACAGAATTAGTGACAAAAGACAACCTTGGCAGAGTCCATCCTGCACCAGAAATTTGTCTGACCTACTGCCGGCAATGTGGACCAGGCTCTGACATCGGTCACACAGAGATGTAACAGCCGCTATTAAAGGGCCTGGTACTCGATACTCTCGGAGTACCCCCCGCAGGACCCCCCGAGGGACAAGGTCTAATGCCTTCTCCAAATCCACAAAACACATGTAGACTGGTTCGGCAAACTCCCATGCACCCTCCAGAATCCTGCTTAGGGTGTAGAGCTGATCCAGTCTTCCATGGCCAGGACGAAAACCACGCTGCTCTTCCTGAATCCGGAATAGACCTTACCAGGGAGGCTTAAGAGTGTGATTCCTCTGTAGGTGGAATCCTCCCTGGGCTGCCACCTTATCGTGGTGGAGGGGTTTGAGTGTCCCAATGACCTTAGGAGCTATGCTGTCTGGGTGCTTTATGCC